GGGGGGGGGGGGGGGGGAGGGGAGGTGCGACGAGTCCTTTCGGACCACCTGTTTAAATCTTCTGAGAAATGTGCTTACACAGTAAATCTGTCACAACTTTAGTGAACTGGAGACATAAAAGGAAGAAAATGCTATAATGATCCGTAAGCAAAAGTAATTAAAGAAACTAAAGAACCTACTGTAGCATCAAGTATGCAAGTATGCAGAATATAAACTTTGGAATTAGAGTCTACTTTTTATTTTCTAATAAAGCATATTCAGTTTCAGTCAGTTATCACGTGAAGTTAATTGCCTCTAAATGTTTAATTTGCAGTTTAATGTATGTGAAATTAATGTTGTGTTTGATGAAGGACCTAATTGCTGTATACTTGAGCATGAAGTTGAGAATACGATAATTATGGAACCTCGAGAATCTCACACCTAACTATTTTAAAAACCTAACTATGACACAACATAACACATGGGTGTATGACATATCTACATGGTCTTAAACAATAAAAACATTTTCCTAAACCTGATATGAACCTCTCTGTCCAGGCAATTGCTTACCAGTCTGATTACTTCCTATTGGAAGTGATTGATCTTGGAATTTAAAACTGACATTATACAGACTACAATTAAGGCAGAGGGCTAGACTTCTAACTTGGGATTCAATTGAAATATTCCCTGAGTAGGAGGGCGAAGCCCAGGCCAATTAAGGATACTACTTCCACTCAAGTATTTTCACTCAGGAAAAGAAAAGCTAGCAGATTGAACAGTTCATCAAAATTATAATCATAGGGTGCAAATCAGGCTAGATTATAAATATAGAATACCCGCGATTTTCTGATAAGTGGTGAACAAAATGATGCAATTATGTAATACAATGATACGCAGTGACGGAAATTACGAAATTCTTCAAAGGTTTCAGTATTTTAAATAAATGACTGCTTCAGTTATACGATGATACGAGGTAAAATAATTATGTTATTATTGAAAGTCACGTTATTTAGTAAGGCTGGGTAAGGTATATTTTTCACAAACATCTCTCCTCCTCAACAAAAAATAGAAAATAATAACAAATCTGGAATATGTACATAAATTATAAACAACTGATAGCACGATATAAAGTTCCATGTAAGGTTCCCTGGGAAAAATAGTTCTACACATAGTCCTTTAGCTTTTCATGTAGTCTTTTAACCCTGGATGGCTTTACTAACATATCAGACTTTGGAGAGGTGGTATTTCTTCCTTGGTCTGTCTGGTTGTGTATTGCATTTCAGGTCTTTGTATTTCGCACTTATTCGGGGAAGATCGCATGGACGTGTCATGTCTAATGTTACGCTTACATTTGTATTGGACTTTGGGCACTGTCAGTTCTATAGTTTTGGTTTCTTAGTGTGATAAATCTGTGTATATAGTCTATATATATAGTATATATATATATATATATATATATATATATATATATATATATATATATATATATATATATATATATATATATATATATATATATATATATATATCGAAATAATATGGATATACTATGGATTTAGAGGTGCAATAGCAAATCTCATGGTATGGATTTCACATTTTCCCCCAGGGACCACAACACAACACCTTACAACCTAGTCAATACGCATATGCCAAACCCCCACAACAACAGTGTGGAAAACCATGGAACTACGGGGAAATTACAGAAGTTATACATATATATATATATATATATAGTCTATATATATATATATATATACAGAAGTTATATATATATATATATATATATATATATAGTCTATAGAGCATCATATATCATGTCGAAGCACGCTTTGAGAAGCAGCGCTCAAAAAGAATCAAAATTTACCGTAAATACTTCAATTGATAAAAAGAACATGAATGCCTCTAAAGTTAATGAAACACCAAGCAGATTGCCAGGAAAAAACGGAGAAAAACGACCAGAAATGGACAGAATTGACGAAATGTTCGATATGATCAAAGCCGTCATGGCGAAATTAGACACGTTGGATGAAATTAAGCAACGCATCGTTTACGTTGAACGAGAGTTATTAGAGATAAAAAATTCAATTGAATTCGCTCACGCCGAAGTAAAAGAGTTAAAGGAAGGGTGGTAGAATCAAAGAGATCTGATCAGGAAAGACGTCCAAGGGCGTCGATGGTTCGGATTCCTTTGGTGCTGTGATTGTTTCTTTCTTTCTTGGGTGGATTACTTGGAAGAATAATAGGAATTGCTTCTACATCGGTTGAGCTAGGTTGCTCTTTGATCAAAATTAACTCCTGGACCTGATGGTGGTGGTGCTGATGTGATCTGGACTCGATCCTTCGTGTTATTCCGTTGGTTGTTCTTATTGTGTACGATCGCGTCGGTTCTTCTTCTGTAATTTCCCCGTAGTTCCATGGTTTTCCACACTGTTGTTGTGGGGGTTTGGCATATGCGTGTTGACTAGGTTGTAAGGTGTTGTGTTGTGGTCCCTGGGGGAAAATGTGAAATCCATACT